CCAGCCTGTTTTAAACGATTCCCCACTATCAGGTCTTTACAAAATATTCCACTTGACTGGTCCTGGAAGCTGCTCATCTCCCATGATGATTATTGGAATAATTAAATCCATTAAAATGTCTGTAACAAGGCCCATCAGCTCCATCCAGCGGGAGCAGAAGCCTGGAGGAGGAGAAGGCAGCCTTGTGGCCACAGGTGTGGGCGTCCACGTATCTGAGAGCGAGTGGGCACAGGTCACCCAGACACACGGGAGCCTCCACCCTCGTCCCCGCCCCGCTGGGGAGGAAGGATGCGCAGATTGCCGGCCATGCACAAGGAACCAAACCGCCAACTTGAGACCGTGCCAGGCACCAGGTGGGAATGCACAGGTGTGTAGGGTGAAGCCGCCGCGGGCATCTGGTCGACCTGTGTCTCAGTAACCCGCCTTCTGTGCTTCACAGTCAATCTAGGCTTCATCCACGGGAGAGCAAAGGCTGTTCCTTGCCCCATGTGCTATAAAATTTGAAATAGCATGAAATTTTAGGAGAGGTAGGTGAAGCAGTTCTGTATTCTGTGTAAGAAAGGTTTCCCCAGAGACCAGGTGTCCTTTCACTTGACTGCCTCCCCCACCACACACCTAAGTACTGTTGTTTCACTGGTGTTTCTTTTGTTAGCATTAAATACCACGGTCCGTCTGCAGAAGCATGATTACTCTCAGTTTTGTCAATTGGTTGCCTTGTCCTTTCTTCCATAAACAATGAAAATCAAGGGTGACATCCACCGACAGGCCTGGGACCCCGACGCTCACGTGCCTTGAGCATCTCTGGCAGAGGGACCCAGGGTGCTAACCTGTGCCCAGGGGGGCCCAGAGTTCTCCCTTCTCAGGTTGGAGCAGGCTCCAGGAAACAGTTTCTGGTTGATAAAGTTTACCTCTGGGCCTTTCTTGCTTCCTTTTCAAGCCACACCTCCCATTGTTGCCCTTCCCTTCCTCTTGCCATCTCTGCTGCCTGCTACCCGGCCAGCCCTCGGGCACTGGCCATGCCCGTGGGTGCTGCCCACATCTGTGGCTTGAGCCTGCCCCCGGCTGCCCCTCTGCCCTGCAGCCTGCACAGGGCTGGTGTAGACCAGGGGTCAGCGCACCTTCACTGCAGAAGGCCAGGCAGCGTTTCAGCTTTGTGGCCTCAGGTGTCTGTGGCAGTTACCTTTGTGGGCCATCGACACACAGAACTACAGGCAAAACCGTAAAAGGCAGGGTGCCTGTGTTCAGTAAAACTGTGCGTCTGCACACGGCGATCTGAATTTCATATTTTTTAAACATTTCATATAATTTTTATGTATTATTATGTGCTTTCCCTATTGAAAAATGCTCTTCATCCATGGGCAGAGACAGGTGTTGGGCCGGCTTTGACTCAGTTTTGTCTTTTAGTGCTGTGACTTTGGTGTTTTTGGGTGTGGTGGGCACAACAGTGGGTGAGACCGAATCCTGCCCTGGAGAGATCTCAGTCTAGATATTGGCAGGTGCCCGATGTAAAGGACCCTCTGGCCGGTGGATCCATACGTGTCCACCGTGATGGTTAGAAACCCAGGCGATAGGCCAGCTTCCCCAGAGCCACCCTAGAAATGCTTCTCCTGTGCTGGATGACTGCGTGGATGCTGGGGTTGCAGGGGCAAAGCATGCGGGTTTGGGTGTTCAGTGACATCAGAGGACCACGTGGGTCCTGCCCTGAGAGGCTTGGCACTGCAGGGTGGCCAGCTCTCGTGAGGTTAACACGAGCCAAGCTGCAGGTCCAGCACAGGCGAGGTTTCAGAGTGTTTCTGAACCTGTCCCTTTCAGCTCTTGAGACAGATGGCCTCGTGAGGATTTCTTCTCCCGGTTTGTTGTATGTTGTATGAGATTGGTTGTATGAGTTTGCTTGGGTGCGTAACAAAGAAGTCAGGGCATCGGGCATCTTCTAGACTGCAGGGTTTGGGGCTAACCTGACGCACACATACCAAGTCCTGTGCTTTCTTTGGGGGCCGTGGTGACTGATGGGCCCCTGGCTTCTGGCGGTTCCCTCCTTGACTGAAGGACCACGCCCCTCTCCTCTCAGGTCAGTGGGTCCTTGTGCAGAAACCTGGGGCTTCCAGAGAGGTAGAGCCTGCAGCTGGGGAGGTGGGAAGGGGCTGATCCTGCTCACCTAATCCCCCTACCCTGGACCTCACAGGCACGCTTGTTCACAGCCAGAGTCGTGAACACCAAGTGGGTGGAGGGCTCCAGGTGTGCACCTGTCCTGCCACAGGTCTCTCTAGGAACCTACCAGGGATCCCTGTGAGCGAACAGAGCTTCAGGAGCCTGCTGGAGTGAGCAAGAGAAAAGCCCAGTGGTTTCCTAGGCTCTTGCCTGAAATGCTGAGTGATCCAGCACCTAAAGGTTTGTTGACTGAGGATGCTGTAAATGGACTGGGGGAGGGAGCGCAGCCCTCCCCTCTTCATAAAGTCCTCCGCTTCTCATAAAAGACTTGGTGGCGGTCTGCTCTGGTTGTGTGGAGCACACAGCTATTTTGCATCTAGGAGATGGGCTTTAGGGAGAGCCGTGACGCGGATGTGGGAAGTAGAGGCTGTTGACCATGGAGATGCTCTTTTTGGGAGACTCTGTGGCCTTGCCAGCTCCCGACCCCTTCTCGCCCTTCCTGAAGGGCCTGCAGGTGGACCCATGCAGAAGTCAGAGGCTCAGCAGTGCGGGCACCTGGACAGGAGGGAGCGTAGAAAGTCCTGTCGCCCCAGCCTCGATGCCAGGGAGGGGATGGTTTATACAGCACAAGAGACAGCCAAGTTCTCAGACTGGTGCATGCATGCATGCTAAGTCGCTTCAGTCATGTCCAACTCTCTGCGACCCCAGGGACTGCAGCCCGCCAGGCTCCTCTGTCCATGGGATTCTCCAGGCAAGAATACTGGAGTGGGTTGCCATTTCCTCCTCCAGGGGGTCTTCCCAACCCAGGGATCAAACCCGCGTCTCCTGCATCTCGAGCATTGGCAGGCGGGTTCTTTACCACTAGTGCCACCTGAGAAGCCCCTCAGGCTGGTCCAGTGACTTAAAAAGAAGAAAGAACAAAAGAGATGCATGCTGTTCACACCGTAGAGCAAACTGGAAGGGTTAGAGAAGTCTGAACAAGCACTGAAAGTGAAGGTCACTCAGTCGTGTCCCACTCTTTGCGACCCCATGGGCTATACAGTTCATGGAACTCTCCAGGTCAGAATACTGGAGTGGGTATCCTTTCCCTTCTCCATGGGATCTTCCCAACCCAGGGATTGAACCCAGGTCTCCCACATTGCAGGCAGATTCTTTACCAGCTGAGCCACAAGGGAACCAGAATACTGGAGTGGGTAGCCTATCCTTTCTCCAGTGGATCTTCCAGACCCAGGAATCAAACCAGGGTCTCCTTCATTGCAGGCGGATTCTTTACTAACTGAGCTATCAGGGAACAAGCATTAAAATACCCAAAACCCACTTCTGAGAGGCCGTCCCTGCATCATTTCACTCCCCCCAGGTCATTTCAGTACCCCCGCCCCCTTTAAAGTGACGAGGTTCTCACCTGCCCTGTCTAGACAGTCTTTGGGGTCCCACAAGGACCTCGATGACACCCCAAGGCCTGCAGATGCACCCAGAATCCAAGTGACGGGTGGACAGAGGCCTCTGCCTCCTGAGCCCTGAATGTCCTACCCCATCTGCATTTTCTCGTCTCCTCAGGGTCTGAATCTTTTGTCATGTTCAGATACATTTCCTCAGGTTGTTGCTGCCTTTTTGTAGCATTCGTTGATTTCACTGGGGTCTTTCCTTTTGCCTTTGGGTTTCCTACATTCCTTGTGTGCTTAGATCTGTCTCTACCTCAAGAGTTAAGTGTAGAAGCGCTGGATTTTCTCTTTCCTTCTGGTTGATTTCCTTCCACGCCTCCCAGCCTGTCCCCTCCCCTTTCTGTGCATCTGGAATTCATTTCGCTGTGGAAGCCCTGGAGGAAACGGTGCTGTGAAGACCAGCCAGCAGCCCCAACGGTGCTGTGAAGACCAGCCAGCAGCCCCAACGGTGCTGTGAAGACCAGCCAGCAGCCCCAGCATCTCGGGATAATTCTTGCCCCTCTGTGATGCTCCTTGTAATTGCATGTGGACTGATAACGTGGCTGAGGGTCTGTTCCAGGAGAGGACGGTGATTTAGGGAAGGTGCCCAGGATGGGATTTCCTCCTCCTGTTTCATAGGCTGGCCAGGTGCAGGGCTCCTGTAAAGCCCGGAGCAGCTCTGTTACCCCCGTCCAGAAGGCCAGGGTGTCATGCCGCAGTGGTACCTTCGATCCCACCATCTCATCACGATCCTTGTTTAAGGAATCTGTTGCAGACGTGGGATCCTTGGTTACTGTTAGTCACCACCTCCTAAATGACCAGCGAGTGGGGAGGAAACCCCACTGCTGGCAAGTCATCGAGGAATACATCTCTTGGGTTTAGCTGATAGGATTATTCTGTTGAACCTGCACTGCCCGTCTCTGCAGCAGAAGTAATAGCAGGTGAGGGAAGACAATACAGCCTTGAGAAAAAACAAGCCAAAAATGCCCTCGTGGTGACTGGGCTCCTGGAAGCCAACTCTGGCACAGGTTACCGGGGTGCACTCTTGGGGTCAGACCCCTTGGAAGGGACATGAGGTTGGGGGTGCAGAGGGAAGTCCTTGGAGACCCCACAGACGCTCCAACCCTGGACAGACGTTTCTCACTTGTCCGGGTTGGAAGGGAGGTGGGGGGCATCCTTTTATGGCAGAGTGGTTGCCCCAGTGGGGCCGTGACCTGGTGGAGGAGGCCTCTTTCCGGGAGGGGATTCTAGAAAGCCGGCCACGCACCTAGCAGCCGAAATGGAAAGGGTTCCGGGGCCCAATTCAAGCATCCACCGGCACCCTCATCATCCCGGGTAAATGCAGTGGCAAACGTAACGGGATCGAGATGTGGAAGAGCCTTGGAGGAAAGAGGTGGAAATGAGTTCCTCAGCTGCACAAGACTCTGACTCTCAGTCTCGGTTCCCCTTTTGTCTTGCAGCGTCTCCCTTCTCTGGACAGAAGGCCGAGTCCTGGGGCTGGTGCTCTGATGTCAGAGAGCTGTGGCCGGTGGCAGGTAAGCGATGCGGGCCGGGTGCCTGAGTGCGCCCCCCACTGGGGCCTGCCCCGCGGAGGGGTGGTTTCACCCCCGGAGGGGGCGTGCCCCGAGTCCCCACTGAGCCGCTCAGGAGGGAGAAGTCGCTTCCCCAAGACCCTGCAGCACCGTCCATCCCCCCGCACAGGCCTGTCTTCACCTCCTCCTCGTCAGCGCTCCACGTGCCTGCAGGAGGTCAGAGGTCACCAGCGTGCCTGGCACGGGCGAGTTCCCGGAACAGCTCCGGGTTTCTGTTTACCTCGGTGACTTCCCTCTGTGTCCACCGATGACACGTTCTCGCTCTGCCCAGAAACCAGCCAGGCAGCTTCTCTGCCTCCCTGACAGCGGGGGGACGGAGCCCAGGTTGGCTGGCCTGTGTGTTTGCACAAAGGAGCTTTATTCTTAAAGCTGGAGAGGTTCCGAGCTTCCGGACAATGGCCACCAGTGATGAGATGCGATGCCTTTGGCTCTGTGTGGCCCCGGGACAGGTGTGTCCTGGGAAAGGAGTCTGAGGTTGGCAGAAAACGTGAGCTAGAAGCTTTAGCCGCCACTCAGAAGGAAGAAGTGAGTTGGCAGAAAGAAGGGAGGGTGAATGGTGGCTGGGTAGAATGTTCTCAGATATTTTCTCTGATGTTCTTGATCTTTATCCCCGTGGCCTGCGATAATAGTAGGAAAAATCCGTCTATTGTAAAATTAGCTGGGTCAGATTATCTACGTAACATGGTGCAGACTTCATGTTTAAAAACAAATGAGACTTTCCTCTCGGGGTGAAAAGGATCAGATATAATGAAATGGGGTCATTTGCAAACACAGGATGAAGAGGGGGGTTGAGATGGAACAGCCCAGACCCTGCTTCCTTGTAGAGTCAAATGTTAGTCGCTCAGTTTTGTCCAACACTTTGTGACCCCATGGACTGTAGCCCACCAGACTCCTCTGTCCTTGGGGTGCTCTAGGCAAGAAGACAGGAGTGGGTTGCCATTGCCTTCTCCAGGGGATCTTACCGACCCAGAGATTGAACCCAGAACTCCTGCATGCAGGAAGATTCTTTACCATCTGAGCCACCAGGGAAGCCAGGAAATCCTTGCAGGGTCCAGTTGAATAATAAAAGCTGTTCCGGATAAAGTGTCTGAATCAGTTCAGGTTATCCTTAAATCCTGTGTGTCTTCTGTTCACCTGGGAGCAGCTGATTGGATTTTGTTTCAGCTTCACCACCCACCTGCCAACCTTTTATATCACATTTCTTTGTTTTCCAGTATCAGCCTGTGCTGTAGGAGGAAAGAATGTTGGAGGACGTTTGCAGGTTATGACCCTGGGGCTTTTAATAGTGAGTGAGGAATTCAGGAGTGTTCTGGTCCCCACTGAGGTCTTAGGGACTTAAAATACCTCTGCCCAGGAAGCGGCTGTCAGCAAGCCTTTGCCCTGGAGGTTGCGATCTGTTTGGGTTTGCAGTGACACCCAGTGAAAGGCATCCACATTCCTCGCATTCTTTCGGACTGGCATTGGCCGGAAAGCTGGGGCTTCTGGGCTCAAACGGCAAGCATGTGGCTTGGGTCTTCTCCGGAGATAACCCTGGTAGATACCAGGGATGGTGTGGCCGGGTTCCCTGCCCTCTGGCCCACCCCACCCAGGTTACCTCCTCTGGGTTTGGATTGAGGGCACAGCTTGGCCGGGGTTGACCCCTCTTGAGGAAAGCAGGAGGTCAATGGGGAGCTCTACCTAGGACCCCTCTTCAGCTCCAACAGTTCCCTGGGTGTCATTTATGTGGTTTGCTTTTTCTGGGACTGAGCCAGGGTACTCAGAGCAGCAGGACCTCTGGGAAGAGGAAGCAGGGTGTGTGGGCCTTGCCCCCAGGGTCTGCATCTGATCATTAAGGGCTCGCAGAGGTGGGCTCACACCTCTCCTGGCCATGGAGCTGGCAGACGGCTGTGGGGGCTTTAGGGAGTCGGTGTGTGTCTCCCAGCATTTAAAGAGGCCACCCACTGGCTGTGGCCAGAATGGGATCCTCACAAACTTGGCCAGTTTTTGTGGCTTTTCCCCCGTACAGAAACACAAACGCAGTGTTTTCTCTTTGCTTCTTAATGTTCAAGGCCTGGTTTGTCCTAAATTCACTGTGAGGAGGAGCATCAAGGGGTTTTGTGAAAGTGTCAGTCACTCAGTCGTGTCTGACTCTTTGCGACCCCATGGACTGTAGCCCACCAGGCTCCTCTGGCCACGGAATTCCCCAGGCAAGGATACCGGAGTGGGTAGCCGTCCCCTTCTCCAGGAGATGTTCCCGACCCAGGGATCCAACCCAGGTTTCCCGCATTGCCGGCAGATGCTTGACCGCCTGAGCCAGGAGGGAAGCCCTCAGGGGGTTTTACCTAGTTTTGTGATTTGCATGAGGAACTACAAACACATTGGACTTCTCAGGTGGCGCTAGTGGTAAAGAACCTGCCTGCCAATGCAGGAGACTTAGAGACGCTGGTTCGATCCGTAGGTCGAAGATCCCCTGGAGAAGGGCATGGCAACCCACTCTAATATTCTCACCTGGAGAAGCCCATGGCCAGAGGAGCCCGATGGGCTACAGTCCACGAGGTCACACAGAGTCGGGCAGGACTGAAGCAACCTAGCGCTTCACTCTCTACTCACGTGGCATCAGTTTCTTTACCTGTTACTGATCCCCTGTTATCGCCACCAGGAATCATTTATTAACGGGCCAGTGGATGCTGCTGTTCAGGTGATGGAGCAGGTGAGGGAGCAGGAATGATGCCTGATTCCAGTTCCGTTCACTTTAAGACTCGTGTGAGGGACCAGCGTAACCGGCAAATAGCAGAACTTGGCCCCCGACAGCTCCTCGGGGAGTGTGCCAACCAAGGAGGGCCTCGGTGGGGAGACCAGGGTCAAGGCCAGTTCCCACGATCCTGCCAATGGCCGTGGAGGCGGGAGCTCCAGCCTCGCTCACCCGCCATCTGCATGTTAGGTCTCCTGCCACCCAGGAACGCATCCTGTCCATTTTACAGACAAGAAGTCAGGCCTCAGAGAGTGCCTCATTCAAGTTCAGGTTCAGAGCGTTATTTAATAAGCTTGTATCCCAAGTCATCCTTCCTTACTGGGAGGACACATGAGCTACAGGACCAGTATCCCCGAGTCCTCCTTTAGCCAGTAGAAATCAATTGTGAATCAAACAGGTTAAAGTTTTTCTCTTAAAACTGTGAATTTAGTTAAAAATCAAGGTTACAGTCAGGGAGTGAGTCGGGTGGTCTCAAAGACCGGTGCTGTCCAGCTGCATGGACCCGTCCACCCTCCCTGTAGGGAGCGCCTTGGCCAAGGTCTGGTCCACATGGACACTCAGACAAATTCTTGCCCTCCAGGGGTTGCTTTTCAGACCGGGTACCCCAGATTTTCTGATTGTGTGAGCTTGGGTTTTTGGACGTGAAATTTGCATTGCATTCAACTAACCATTTAAAAGTATACAGTTCAGTTGGCATTTAGTGCACAGAGTCGTGTGACCAGCGCCTGTCTCTGGTCTCAGAACCTTTCCATCACCCCGGAAGAAGCCCACCCTCCCCAGGGTGTACTCCTATTGCCCCTTGCCCTCCTACCCTGGCAGTCACTACGGGGCTTACTCTTGAGGTTTGAATTGGACGCCAGCCTGTCGGTACTGATCCCGGTTTTCCGAGGTCCTCGGGACCAGCACAGCCAAGGCCGGCATCCTTAACTGCAGACACCCAGGCCTGCAGGGCGCCCCCTGGAGGTGAGGGCTGTCATCACAGTGGGTCAGCAGCTGGACCACTGAGGGGACCTGGCCACACATCCCTTGAATGTGAAGTGGTGCTCAGCCTCTTTCAGAAGCTCTGCATGAGTGAGCCTCAGTCACATCAGGGCTGCCTCATTAACTTTACTTTTAATATTTTTTTTAATTTAATAAAATTAAATTCTGTATTAAATAAAAATTAAAAACTTCATATCGACCGTGAAGTCAGGGGCCACCAGAGTGAAGTCCGGGGAATGCGGGCGCGTGAGAAACCTGAGTGGTTGGGCAGAGGTACTAAACTGAAGACAGCTTCTGTGGTCTTACAGGCCTTGTGTTTTAGTTTCATCCCCAGCCTGCGTTTTCATTCCTCTTAAAGCAGGCGTGTCATGAGGACCGCCGAGACATTTTTAACATACTTGAGGCCGTGGAGATAAAAGGTGAGTGGAAGAAAGATCCCGCAGTTGTTTATTTCCAGAGCCTTCCAGTCTCCTGCTGAACCCTGCATAGGCTACAAAGAACATCCCGATCTAATCAGAAAACCCCCGGGTTCCCATCCCTGGCTGGAGTTTTCCCCTTTTGTTCATCTGTTATTTGAAGTTGACTGGGCCAGCTGCAATTCAGGAAGGACAGAGTGAATGTGTTTCATTCTTGGGTCAGAAAAATGTCTGTTTGGAGTCAGAAAAATGTCTCTGCCGAAAACTTACAGCTTTAATCTTTTCCAGGCAGAGACAGATTTCAGTAATGAGCACAAGCATTTTGCATAAACTAATTTCCTCGAAACTTGGTTTCCTCACCTGTAAAGACAGAGCCCAGGACAGAAGGTTCTCAGATAAAAAGGAATCGAACAGGCCCTCCAGCTTGCTCAAGAGAAACAGTGGGAGGGTTGTTGGAAACATTCAGAGGTCAAGCCCCCAGATCAGAGGTCAAGCCCTCAGATCGCAGAGGACCTGGGAACCAGGATTGGAGAAATGAAAGCGCTTTTCAGGAATCCGGTGGCATGTTCCCCCGTCACCCAGCCTCTGCCCCTCAGCCGGCGTGCACCTGGCCCGGGAATGGCCACCAGTCACGGTCCAGCAGTCCGTGAGCAGGACCTGCCCTGGGGTGCTTTTGCCTTTCTCAGCTCCCTGCTCTCGGAAGTGGATTGGGGCCCGCTGACCCTTTGGAGCAGGTCCTCAGTTGCTGGGTCCGGAGGCAGACGGTGGATTGACTCACCTGCAGGTGGGGTCCATTGCTGGTCCATCGGAGGGAGGGGACAGGGCCATGGCGTGTCCAGGCTGGAGGAGTGCCTGGACCAGACAGTGAAGCGCCCAGCAAAGTGAGGAGGTAGCATGCTTTCACCCTCCCCCGGGGCTTTATGCAAATGCACCTCCCCTCCCTGCTTCCCTCTCTCTCTCCTTCCCATCCTCCTTGTTTCCTTCCCTCCCTCCCCCCTCCCTCCTTCTGAACTTGCCACCCCACCAGCTGGGTAAGCCATTCAACCTCCCAGGACCTCCCTCGTGTCTGTATCAAGGGGCCCCTGAGCATCAGTCACGTGGATTCTCTGAACATGTCATTGATGTGATCACGGGGCTGCCCTGCCCCAGACACTTCACAGTTTCTCAAGCC